CCCACTCTGCATCTTGTCCTCAACCAGTTCTGTTCCATTAATGGCACAGTGTGAGGTCGTTCCAAACCAGCCCATGCATATGTTTTTATTGTCAACAGTTATGTGGCACTTTGTGGTACGGACGTATCTGACTCTTTGTAGTTCAATTCACAGTGGATGCTATTATTTTCCACTGGTGCTTGCTTATCAAATCTGTATGCCAGGCTTTCTGCAGCCTGGAAATTTTCTTCTGTTGTATCTTTGACCTTTGTTTCTGTTCTGTCTGTATTAACATTTGGCATGCATTACTGTTTTCTATCTGCTGGGGACGGCTCTTAGTCCCTTACTGCTGTGATTTTATTTATTCCTAGCAACAACAAAAGTTACTATACATTCTGCAGATGGTATATGTGAGGTCCAGGAGTGCTGAGTAACTTGTTTAAAGTCACCCAGCATTGATGATAGAACTTAGAAGCTATGATCATAAAAATGGTCTCACACTCAACTCTCTGCACCCACAGCTTGTGTATTCCTTTCTTCTCTTCTAATACTGATGGCTTCCTGGAGTCTCACTGGTGGATTCCCCACCAATGTTTTCAGGCTTTTGTGAGTTTATCTCCAATTTCAGCATCTATCCCCATCGGGTTCTCCCTATGAGCTTTTTCAGGTTTGTGCAGCGGGCTGTCTGCCTGGTGTCAGTGATCTGCTGAATGGAGTCATATTCCAAGGCACAGAACTCTCTGACCCACTCCAGGCTCCTCTCTGACTGCCCCTTGCCCTCCAATAGGACCCCAGTTGCATTCATGACCTGAGGCTGCCGGGTAACAATTTATCATGAATTAAACAGCAGATATATTTTCTTTTCTGGCTCTAGAAATGGGTCAAGGCAAATCAATGTTACATCCCAAGGCTTTGGAGCAAATCTCTTTTCTGAACTTCCCAGGTCCTAGTAGCTCCAAGCACATTACAGCCTGTGGCTTCTTGGCTTCTGTCTCTGCCTCCACCTTCTCTGCCTGTGTCTCCTCTCCATCTCATCCCTGTGTCTGAGTCCCCTCCTCTCCCTACAAGCACATGGGCCATTGGAGACCTGGAGGCCAGGAGCACTCAACGTCTTCTTCCTGTCCTTAGAGGGATGAGGAGGCATGGCCAGGAGGACAGCAGGCACCTCCATCCTCAGAGACAGGATGTCCTCAGCAGATAGACTGTGGAGATGGGGGGTAAACAATACCACTCCCTATGCTAACCTGGTCCCCTCACCTGCCTGGCTGCCTTCCCTGGAGACACAGCCCCCCAGCTGCAATTGAAGAGAAAGAAGATCTGAAAGGATCCCACTTGGTGCCTCCCACTGCATTGCTGCCCAAGGCCCAGGGTCATGGAGTGTCATTCACTGGGTGTCATGCTGGTTTCCACTCAGACAAACTGCCCTTCCCCACTATCTTCCACCTATGGAGCTTATAGAACCCCAAGATTGCTTGCACCCCAGCTTGCCCTGTTCAGAGTGGATTTGGAGGTAAAGTACACACCTCCCAAAGTTCCCTCCTGCATCTCCACTCTGTTGGCCTTTGCGTCTCTCCCATCCGCTTTGCAGCTTTCAAAAGTCACCTCTCTCTCTCTCTCTCTCTCTCTCTCTCTCTCTCTCTCTCTCTCTCTCTCTCTCTCTCTCTCTCTCTCTCTCTCTCTCTCCTCTTTTCTCTCATATAGACTCTCTACTCGCTTGTGTTAATGTCTTCTTTTTTAATGCACCACTATTCAACGCACCAAGTCCCTATTTCAACCCAGCATTCTTTATAGCAACTTAAATGTCAAGAGATGCATAAAGCAAACTGCTCTGATTCATCCCTCTTTACTGCCTGCTAATAATGTCTACTGCCCACCGTGTGCCACCTATGGCCACCGTAAAAGGCACTTTGTGCGTGGGTCGCCGCTTGTCAGCACTGGCCTTGGTGCCAAGAGGTGGAAAATGCTGCACTCCACCCCAGAGACGATGAGCCTGAAGATCAGAGTGGTGAGAAATTTTCCCAGGATGTGGCAGCTAGTCAGCCTCCGAGCTGGCGGCCAGCCTTGAAATGCTACTTTCTTTCACACAGTGGTGAATGTGCCACTGTGGAGACCATCCTAAACACTGCAGTCTGCAAAGGAAGGCTGAGTGGGTGAGCTCGGATGTGGAGGCTGTCCTGGCATCCAGACAAAGCCGCAGATTTCTTTATGGTTATTGTAAGTGGCCCTGTAAGGAGCTGCTCACCCTCTGTGCTCAGAGCTGTCCACTGTGACGAGGAAAGCCAGTGAGGAGTCACAGAGGCTTTGTGTGTTGAGGACTCTCATACCTCACCTGCTCATCCAAAGTGTATCAGCTAGCTACTCTTCAGCATGCTGCAAACAAGCTGCCTCACACCTCCGTGGCTTAAACTCAAAGTCATGTGCTCATGCTCTCCAGCCTGCAGACTGTGGGCATAGCGCTGCCATTATGACTAACTCGCGGGGTAGCGCTATCCATTGTGACTAACTCACGGGGTAGCGCTGCCATTGTGACTAACTCGCAGGGTAGCGCTGTCCATTGTGACTAACTCGCGGGGCCTGGGTCAGGTCTGGATCGCCCTCGTGTCTTTTCCACCAGGTAACCAGTAGGAATGTTCTCCCTGTGGCGCAGATGGACAGAAAGGAGGCAACAAAAAACCTGTGGGCAAGCAGTGTGTGAGGAACAGAAGTGTATTTGGCTGGATGTTCTGGAGGCTGAAGCCCGAGGACGTAATGATGGCATGAGTGTGCCATCTGGAGAAGCTTGTGCACCGATCATAATAGAATAGAGTCACCACAGGAAGAGCCACTGGGTCTCTTCTCAAAGGGCCACAGTGGCCTCATGGGACTCCACTCTCATGACTTCAGTTCACCTCACCCTGGAACTCTACCTCCAATGTAAATGTGAGGATTAGGTTTCTAACCCTGAAAACGGGGGAATGCATTCAAAGCCCATCATTCTAAGGCTTAAGTTTGGATCTGGTGCCATGACAAAAGTTGGGTCTTCAGGGGGCCCCATAGCTGAGCATGTCTGTGTTGAGCCCATACACTCCTGGGCATCCAAGCCAGTGATGGGCATGCCACGGACAGAGCCCACACACCCCTGGGCATCCCAGCCAGTGATGGACATGCAGGGAAGAGCCCACACACCCCTGGGCATCCCAGCCAGTGATGGACATGCAGGGACAGAGCCCACACACCCCTGGGCATCCCAGCCAGTGATGGACATGCTGGGACAAGCCCAGCCACACCCATCCAAGGTAGGACTCTCCTAACAGTGTTCTGGCTTCTGAGCACCCCTTGCTTCTCCAGACTTTCTCCTTGATGTGGCATGGGTAAGGAATTCTCAGTCCCTCCTTCCTTCCCTCACCCTGAGTAGATGGCCCACCACACTGCTGTCTGATGTCCCTCCAGTTTCTGCTTATCTCTAGTCCTCTGTAGGAAGTTGCCACTGTGTCTTCCTGTGACAAAATGTCTGACATAAGCAATATAAAGGTTTGTTTGGGCTCGTGGTTCCTGTCCACAGTCAGATGGCACCATTGTTTTGGGCCTGCCGGTCATCATGGCAAAAGGGTATGGAGTGCGTGTGGAGGGCAGGGGAGGACTGCTCACCTCATGGCAGCCAAAGAGCAAAAAGACAGAGAGGAAGGATCTAGGGACAAGATGTATCATTAAAGGCACACACCCTCTCCACACTTTCTCCCACTGGGCCCCCATGACAGCCCACACAGTCATGAATTTGTCAACAGATTAACACATTGGTGAAATCAGTCCTGTGCCACTAGCTGAGGGTCAAGCCGTCAGCACACAAACCACTTTGAGGGGCACTGCTTACCTAAGTCACAACACCTCCTGATCTGCAAAGAGTCATGTCCATCTCACAAAGCAAACTGAATTTAAACCATCCCAGAATCCCTGAAGTCTCCTTAGTTCCAGCATTTCTCAAAAGTCCAAACCCAAGGTCTTCCTTAAGACCCAACAGAAACTCTTAGCCATCAAATCTCTGCATACCTAGGCTGCTGAGCATGAAGAAATGAATCCTGGGAAAAAAGTCTTAGGTGACCCTGGGCAGACAAAGTGCCATGCATTTTCTAAATGAAAGGGCTTTTGAAGGAGCTCACACATTGTATACTCTGGACAACACAATGGATTCTGTCTGGCCAACCTGACATACTTTCAAGGCAGTTTGGGTTCAAACTTCACATTTTTCAGAACTTTCTGATCCACTTCTTGGTCCCTATTTTCTTAGTAGCTATGACTAAAAGAAGCCAGCAAAGCCCATGCCATCATCTGAACGTTGTGCTACCTAGAAGTTTTCTCCTAAGATTCACTAGTCCACCATCTTGACATTCTGCTTCCGACAGTCTTAACACATGGGCAAAATTCAGGCAAATTCTTTGCCAGAGTGTACGACCAGTGGCCTCAACTCAGAATCCTGTCAGGGTCCCTGTTACCATCTGAAACTTCTTGAACTGCCTTCACTCTCCACACTCTGGGCTTGTGAGCTTCTGCCAGAATCGCCCATGAAGCTCTGCATATGCGACAACAAGTGTTGGTTGTCAGCCCAATACAATGTAGAGCCAGCTAGGAAGGGCATCTCAAGGAAGGGTTACTTAGATCAGGCCGTCTGAGGGGTTGTACTGGTTTTGTCAATTGAGGTGGGAAAAACTGTTCCGTCTGGGTGGCACCGTTCACTATGCAGGGCCTCCCAGAGTACGAGAGTGGAGAAAGTGGGCTGAGACCAACCTGCATACGTTAACTTGTTGTCTCTGCTCCTGCCTGTGGCTGTGAAATGACCATTTACTTCAAGTACTTGTTGGTGAGCTTCCCCACAGTGGTGGACTGCAACCTGGAAGTGTGACCTAATAAACCCTTTCTCAGTTAAGTTGCTTTTGCCGGGGCTTTCATCACAGCAATGGGAAATGAAACCGTGACACCACACTTCCCACAGACCATCTCCAAAGGGTCTCCGTCACACACTCTCAGGAACAGTCACAGCCATGACCTTTGATCCCATGTCTCTGTACCAATATTTAATTACTTGTTTTGTGTTTCTGCAGCAAAATGTCTGACATAAATAACTTGGAGGAGGAAGGGTTCCCTTGGGTTCAGTTTCAGAAGTTTCTCTTCACAGTCAGATGGATCACCATGTTCAGACCTGTGGTAAGACAGAAATGCCATGGAAGAGGAGAGACTGAGACAAAGAGTTGGGGACAAGATCTACTTTCCAAAGTCATGGCCTCAGGACCTATTTCCTCTTTGTAGCTAACCCATAACAGAAGTTGAGGACTGACCCCCAAAGCGCATCCATACCAAGTCACAAAGTCGGCTAATGTCAACTTATCTGAGAAGAAGCCTTCCAAGGTATGAATGAATGAGTGAGGCTCTTGACTTTGTCCCCATATAATCCCATGTACCTTCCTCTCACTATCTACTTCCTGGTTGCATGCTATAAGCAGCTCTGATCCAAACCTCAGGCCCCAAGCAACGGAGCCAGACAAGGGCTGGGCCCTCTGAAATCATGAGCAAAATAAACTCCATCCTCTAAGTTGTTTCCCTCCCTCAGGGATTTGTCCCTTGGGGATTTGTCACAGATGAAAAACTAAGACATGAAGGAGTTGCTGTCAGAGAAGTGGGCTTGCATCTGTGGCAATCTGACTGTGTGCTTCAAAGATTGTGGAAGTTGGCTGAAGGAAGAATTCAGAGACTTTGGAGGTACAGGCTGGCTGAGAGGATGAGGAATGACTCTGCAAGAAGACCAGACCACCAGCAAACCAGGAAATCCTACCCTGTGAGTTGCATTGACACAGCCAGGGCTATAGTCAGCTGTCCCAGACTTCAGCCTGTGTCTAACCCTGTGTTGTCTACACTCAGGGATTACCTACTCAGAGCTTAGCCAAAACTGAGGTATCACAGGACACCTGGAAGGAAGAAGAACACTAGGGGTCCCAGCAGGACAGTTGTCTGAAGCACCCAAGTCTCAAACACATGGCACTCTGTAGCATTGAGAGGGTGCTGGACAGCATCTTCAGAAGCTGCCACTCCTACAGAATACTGGACTTGACCCAAAAGAACCCATGACACCTGCATCAGGCACTGGCTGTCTGATGGTCAGTGGCCAGAGTCTACAGATGGACAGAACGATGGGTTCCACTTCTGCCTCATCAACTCTGGATCAAGAGTCTTTCCTTGCAGGTAAGGGCAGCCTGTGGTGTGAGGCTGAGGGTTCTAGTGAGTCTCCCACAGGGGCACCTGCTGGAAATGCTGAGCCTGTCTCTGTACACAGATGGAAGCTGAGTAGACATCTGGTCACTGTCCTAATACCTGACTACACATCCCTATCCACAATGGGGACCCCTGCATCAAAGACAGGAGGAGGACTGGGACCTGGGCCTTGCTTCAGTGACATGAGCAAAGTAACAGAGAGAGTGTAGGGGACAGTATTAAGAGAAAGCTGAGTATGGGCCAGCCAGGGTGCTCTGAGAAACAAGTACTTCATGCTTGCCAAATGCCTCTTGTGACTACCTTGATGGCTGTGGAGGCCCCCTCCATCATGCTGTATAACCCAAAAAGTCAGCCTCTACATGACCATTGTTGTCAAGCCGCAGGTCCCCTGAAGCTCCCCATCATCCCTATATTTTCAAAAAGTCATATCATGACAAAATTGGTCACGGCCTGGGTGGTGTCATAAAAGATGGCTGAGAGTGGACCACCTTAGCAAGCGTCCCAGTGCTAGGATGACGTCCCCTGTAGGCAGCATCATAGGAGTGGCCAGATTGAGCCTCTAGCCTGACATGGGGAACACGACTTATCTCTGTGGCTTCCTGTGAGGCTCCCCATGTCACTGTGGGTCTATGAAAACTGCTTCCCTTTGTGTCACCATGCCCAGCATCAGTTGAGGAAATGCTTCCCAAAGACAATGGAGCATTCACTATGTGTTTCCCACAAGGATTTGTGGGAAGTCTCCCGTGTTCCAGGCAGCTAGCCAGTGCAGAGACACAGTATGAGTAACAGGGACATTGCTGCAGCCCTCGAGGAGCCAACGGACTGATGGGGTAAACAGATTCAGTGACAGGCATTCAAGAGCATGCAAGACACCAGACACTGTGAGGACTACATCCATCAGAAACAGCCTTGGACAGAAACTGAAGCAATGACTTTAGGTGGCAGGATCAGGGAGTGAGACGAGGGGGTAATGTATGCTTTCAAGTGTGCAGGCATGTGCATACGTGCACACACACACACACACACACACACAGCTGGGAAGATAAGTTGGTGAGACTGCTGAACTAAATATGATGCAGGCAGGACAAGGGATGCTGGACACTATCACCATGCAGCCAGCTGAGGTTGGAGGCCCCACCCGGGAACTGTGTCCCCAATAACCTTTACTCTAGTTAAAGCCTGAACTCGGCTTGCAACAGCTGTTTGTCACCAGGTTGGTGGGACAGTCTGTCGCAGCCTGGAATTCTTGGAGTTCAAGTTACCAGACAGCTTCTTGACAAACATCTCCATGGCAAAATGGCTTCATGAAAACTGCAAACCCCACCCTCTTCTGGAAGTCTCCAGTGCACATTACCCTCTCAAAGGCACTGCTAGGTCCCGCAGTAAAGGGCTTGCATGCTCTTCTCTATGCACTGCTCCTTCCGGTGCTCGTGGGCTCCTCTGAACGTTTGTGTTCCATGCCGGGTAGGGACACGGTACATCCCACAGCAGAGACATGGTGGGGAGTCCATCACTGGCAGGATGCATCCTGGTTAGACTAATACAGCAGCCTATGTTTACACACGGCCAGCCCCTGTGCATTTGGGTTGGTCATGTTGGTTATTAGCACCTGAGACAGACGAAAAAAAATAATGGAGTCCGGAAAAGGAGCAGGAGCCAATGGGCAGAATGACCCTACAATGGAGCCCATGACAGTGTCCACATCAGGGAATGTTAGGGGTATGACTAAAGATCCCAGAAATGGGCCACACAATTGCGGTTGATTGAGTAAAATGTCAATGATTGCGGAGAGTTGTTGTGTTAGAGGTTGATAGCCTAATTACCTTGCATTATCTTTAGTCCCCTAATAGCCTCTCATTGGCCTCTTCTTACTTTTGAGTAAGACCTTTGGAAATGTATTAATAGAACCTGTAGTTTCCACAAAACCAAAGCTAAGAATATCATCAAAGAGTGTCTGACACTATGGCAGAAATCTTCTCCCTTCTCTATGATGGTCCCAGCAATGGATTTAAAAAGCACCAACACTTGATCAAACTGCTACCACATTAGAACAACCTTAAATATGCTCTCTGGTCACTGTCACTGAGGTTTGTCTCTAGAAACATCTATCACTAACCCCTTTGAGGTAAGAGCTGTGTTGGTGTCCATGGGCATTCTGGTGTCCACAGCCTCTAAGATCGTGGGTCACTAATAACTAGGGACAATGGGGATCACTCTCTATTCATCATCTGCCAGGCAAGCAAACAGACAGCCCTGCATCTGGTGAGACCCTGAAGTCCATACCTCCTTAGACCCAAACAGCCATCTTTGTGGTGGATCTAGTGGGCTCTCTAGGGGGAGGGGGCTGGTGCCACATACGACTTCCCTCTGTCTCAGGAAGCTGGTGACGTCAACCCTGTCCTCAGGAATGTGTCAGTGGGCATCTCCACACTGCTGGTCAGCAGGAACAAAGGGGCAAAGCCAGGGAGGGGAAGGTTGCATGGAGGGTGGGGCTCATCCTGGGCAGGGATCCCAGTGCCTTTGATAAGGGCACAGAGGTTCCAAGAGGTAGAGGTAGAAGTCTATTAAGTCAGCCTGGCACAGAAGCCAGGAGGCCAAGCTGGTGGGCCCTGCTCTCTGTACACATCCTGGCAGTTCTGCCCCAAGACAGGAACCACAAGACAGTTCTGATTGTCACTGTGTATCTAGCCTGTGGCTCCCCACAGGACACTAAGCCACACCCTAAAGTAAGGTGAGTTGAGGAGAAACAACTCAGAGCTGAACTTCCAGGGCCAGAGAAGAGGGTTACTATAATGAAATACCCCGATGAAAACAGCTTAAGAGAGGGAGAGTTTGTTTTGGCTCATGGTTTGAGGGGGCAGTCAGTCACAATGGGAAAAGTCACAACAGAAAAGTTAGGCAGCAGGTGACACAGCATCCACCATCAAGAGGTGGGGAATTGATGAATAATTGGTCTTAACTCACTTTCCCCCTTTATTCAATTCAGGAAGATAGCCCAGGAAATGATGACGCCCACAGTGGGCAGATCATCCCGCCTCAGTTAACCTAATCAAGATAAAGAGGGAAGGATGGTTAGGGCGGCAGGCCTGGGCATCTCAGAAATACTGACCTATCCATCGTCTCTTCAACCAGTGTTCCAGCATGTGAGGTCTCTTGAGATGGCCCCTCCAACGTGGGAGAATCTTAAACTATCACCTCCCCTCACAGTCTGTGACTCCCAAGGAACTGTTTCCTCTCTTCAGAGGTGGTGTTATACATACCCTCATACACATGCCCTGGTTTAGCAGAGGGGGGACATCAGCAAAACCATTTCTTGGTGGCTGCAACAGAGCGCCAGGTAGAGCTGCCACCTCCCTCTGAGTTGCTGGGGAATCACACACAAAGGGCACTCAAATTTAACATGCCCCCAGAGGAAAAGTTGGAAGCACAATCCCCGATGCAGCGTTGAGAAGAGGTGGCACTTACATCTCTCCAGGGTCTAGCTCTGCTACAGTCAGCGGTCCATACTGCGGGTCAGGGGCAGAGGTGCCAAAGAAAGCCGCTTCCAAGGCACCTGACCTGAACCTTGAATCCCTCGCACCTTGGAGTGAGAGCAGCACTTCCACTCTCTCTCAGTTTCCCAGTCTGCGATGCTCTGTAAGAGCTGCAGGAAGAGGACAGAGAGAGTCTTAGTTGCCTTTTACTGCTGTGATAAGACACCGTGACCAAGGCAGGCACTTCTTATAAAAGAAAGTGTTTACTTTGGTGCTTACAGTTCCAGGGTCGACGGCCATCATGGCAGTGAGCATGGTAGCAGGCAGGCACTGACACAATAGCTAAGAGCCTACATCTGATCTACAAGCATGAGGCAGGGAGAGCTAACTTGGAACCTCAAAGCCCACCCGCAGTCGACACACCTCTGTGGTGATGTATTATATATGATTTATTGAAGCATGCCTGAGGATTTAGAAGGCAAAGCTAGTCTCAAACGGTCAGTGGCAGTACACACCTTTAACCCCGGCAGTGGTAGAGCTATTCGGTGGTGGTACACACCTTTAATCCCAGGACTCAGGATTAAAAGATAGATGGATCCCTGTTAGTTCAAGACCACACTGACTACACAAAATCGATCCAGTCCTAAAAGAAACGGCCCACACAAAGGCTATCCCAGTACTTGGGATCACACGCCTTTAATCCCAGCACTTGGGAGGTGGAGACAGGAGGCTATAGCTAGACAGAGAAAAGTATATAAGGAGGAGGAGACAGGAATTCAGAGCCTTTTACCTCTGAGGATTCATGAGGGCAGGATTGCCATTTCAGCTTGGTAGAAGTAAGATCTACTGTCTTGGCTGCCTTGATTTTCTGATCTTCAGTTTGAAGCTTGAACTCCAATATCAGTCTCTGGGTCTTTTACTTTTGTGTTATACACCTCCTCCAATAAGGCCACACCTCCTAATCCTTCTCAAACAGTTCCACTAACCGGGAACCAAGTATTCAAACATTTGAAGCTATGGGGGCCACTCTCATTTAATCCACCACAGAGGGCTCATACCCAGGCACCACATAGGACCATGTCTGATGCATCTGTGGCTTTCACTACAGTCATAAGGATTTTCTTCTAAAATAAGTCAGATTTGGATGAAATGGGATTGTGCAGTTTGATGAAGCCCTATGTGAGGAGATGGTGTCAAGGAGTAGTGGTACTTGTATAGGAGTGGGTGTCTGGTTCTATTCCTCATAGCTGCCAAAGCAAACCAGACACGAATCTGGGAAGCAGGAAGTAGGAAGGACTATCAGGAACCTGGAGGAAGGTGATAGATGTGTCTTCAGTTTTATCAAACACACACGGAAAGCCTCCCTAATTTACACCATAAATAAGCCACTTCGAAAAATGCAACAGGATTGGTAATAGGTTCCCATCAGTTCTTGCAGACAGTGTAGAATTGTGACTGGAATGCAGCAGGACTGACCTTGATGAGATTGTGCTGAAAGGAGGTAGCCTAGGCCAAGGGAGCAAGACTGGGATGGGTAAGGACAAAGGGAAGGTGCTGGAGGGCGGAGTCAGAGGGTGCCAGTCACTTAGAGGTATCATGTGGACACACCTTTAATTCCAGGACTCAGGAGACAGAGGCAGATGGATCTCTGTGAGTTCAAGGCCACCCTGGGCTACATGAGAATGAACCAGTCTAAAAGAGAAACAGAGCTCATGCCTTTAATCCCAACACTAGAGAGAATATAAGGAGCTCAGTGCAATCTCAGGAGCAGTCTGAGATTTGGTGAAGAGCAGTACACTCTGGAGATGCAATCTGAGATTCAGGGATGGCCACTTCGGTCTGAGCATTGGTAGAGGTGAGAGCTCTCAGGTGGCTTGGCTGCTTTGCTTCTCTGATCTTCAGCTTGGATCCCAATATCTGTCTCTGGGTTTTTATTATTCATGCTACAATGTCAACTTTCACAAATCCAACCCTGAGTAGAGCTGACTTCTTGAGCCCATGGCAAGTGTGGAAGCAAAGGAACTGTGTGTGATTTGGGGGGTACCTTGAGGTTCTCCCCACCATCACTGCTGAGCACCATCCCTCCATCCTTCTCTACCACTCAGAGAGAAGGCAGGAGGAGAGAGATTGCTGCCCAAGTCAGGCTACTGCCACAGTCTCCCACCAAAGTAAACTCCCTGCAGGTGTAAGCTCTGAGCTGAGTCCTGAGTGCTCACTGAGCCTGGCCCTTGGCCTCAGAAAGAGGGGGCTGGCGCTGTGTGAATGGTAGCTGAGTGACAATGCTGATAATGACTAGCAGAGGCCCAGGGGAAGCTGCTGAGCAAGGACCTAGATGACAGAAATGGCCTAGCAGCCCTCAGAGGACACCACGCGAGTCTATGCCACAGCTGGCAATTTCCAGCGTGGTGAGGGGGGCAGAAAAAGTGCTCCCTCTAACAGTCAAGATGGCTACTGGCCTTGGTTCCCACCCCAGAAGTCATGGGTAGACGAGATGACCCAAAACTCCTCTGGCTTGTGACCAGGGTGACCTTCCTGCCTGAGACCCGAGTGTCCACTGAGCCAGGTTCCAGAGCTGGCCCTCCTCATCAGGAATGGAAGTTGCCAGAAAGCACTGAGTCAAGGTACATGATTGAGTTGACAAGAAGGGACCCTGGACACCAGGGGCTCCGTCAACCCAAGTCCACCAGGCTCTTTTCCCATTTCAGATGAACACAGAGCCTTCCTGCAGCTCTGGGGTCCCCGTGGCCCTTTTCATGTGGCTGGCCCAACTTACTGAAAAGGGATTCAGCATAGAGCTCAGACCTTGCTTCATGTCCAGAGTGTCAAGACGGTGTTGTCCTGGGAAGTTTGAGAGTCACTGTTCAAGACTGGATCCTATCTGAGTTTTTCCCACTGCCCCTGATCCTGCCTCCCACACTGCAAGGCCAGCGTTGCAGACACCAGCAAAGCTGCTGGCTTCCACTCACCTTCCCCAGTAACAGCATTGGACCTGCCGCCCTGCTGGACGGTTCTGCCGGGTGTGCTTCCTCGCAGCATACATTACAGTCAAAAGCTATTAAAGATTTAGCATAACACAGACGAGATGTGCCTCTCCAGGGGCCAGCTCGGAAACAGCATCTTAAATAAAACC